GGTAATAGTGGCCGTCATATACTTAAATTTAATATCCCTGTGGCAGGAAAAACACCACAATGGCCCAGCACTGTAGCATTTAATTTCAGAAAGGGGAACTAACACAAAAATGAGGAGGTTAGTTAAACACAAATTAAAGGGTGTAGTGCCAAAAGGGAAATCTCTGCAAGCTGCATGGAAACTTTTTAAAGACACCATAATAGAGGCTTAATTTAGAGGTATACCCCAAATTAAAAAAACATAGTAAGAGAACCAAAAAAGAGCCATCGTGGCTAAACAACAAAGTAAAAGAAGCAGTGAGAGGCAAAAAGACATCCTTTAAAAAGTGGAAGTTAAATCCTAGTAAGGAAAATAGAAAGGAGCATAAACACTGGCCAATGATGTGTAAAAATTCAATTAGGAAGGCCAAAAAAGAATTTGAGGAACAGTTAGCCAAAGAATCAAAAAGAAATAGCAAATTTTTTTTTAAGTACATCAGAAGCAGGAAGCCTGCCAAACAACCCATGGGGCCACTGGACGATCAAGGTGCTAAAGGAGCACTCAAGGACGATAAGGCCATGGCGGAGAAACTAAATGAATAAAGACTGGGAGTGGATGTGTCATTATACAAAGTAAAACTATTCCCGCCCCGTTCCTCACACGTTCTTGACAACTGCTGGAAATGGCCCACTTTGATTATCACTACAAAAGGTGTTTCCCCCGCCCGGTAATAGCTCACCTTACCTGATCACTCTCGTGACAGTGTGTATGGTAACACCCATTGTTTCATGTTCTCTGTGTATATAAAATCTCCCCACTGTATTTTCTACCGCATGCATCCGATGATGTGAGGTGTAGCTCACGAAAGCTTATGCTCAGATAAATGTGTTAGTCTATAAGGTGCCACAAGTACTCCTTTTTTTTTTTGCGTCAGACATATAAATGAACATAATTTGTTGAGGAAGAATCAACATGGTTTTAGTAAAGGGAAATCATGCCTGACCAATCTACTTAAATCAATGTACATTAAGTTGTCATGGGATAAGAGGGAAGATCCTTTCATGGATTGAGGACGGGTTAAAAGACAGGGAACAAAGGGTAGGAATAAATGGTAAATTTTCAGAACGGAAAGGGGTAACTAGTGGTGTTCCCCAAGGTTCAGTCCTAGGACCAATCCTATTCAACTTATTCATAAATGATCTGGAGAAAGAGGTAAACAGTGAGGTGGCAAAGTTTGCAGATGATACTAAACTGCTCAGGATAGTTAAGACCAAAGCAGACGGTGAAGAACTTCAGAAAGATCTCACAAAACTAAGTGATTGGGCAACAAAATGGCAAATGACATTTAATGTGGATAAATGTAAAGTAATGCACATTGGAAAAAATAACCCCAACTATACACACAATGTGATGGGGCTAATTTAGCTACAACTAATCAGGAAAGAGATCTTGGAGTCATCGTGGATAGTTCTCTGAAGACGTCCACGCAGTGTGCAGCGGCAGTCAAAAAAGCAAACGGGATGTTAGGAATAATTTAAAAAGGGATAGAGACTAAGACAGAGAATATCTTATTGCCCTTATATAAATTCATGGTATGCCCACATCTTGAATACTGCATACTGATGTGGTCTCCTCATCTCAAAAAAGATATACTGGCATGAGAAAAAGTTCAGAGAAGAGCAACTAAAATGATTAGGGGTTTGGAACGGGTCCCATGTGAGGATAGATTAAAGAGGCTAGGACTTTTCAGCTTGGAAAAGAGGAGACTGGGGGGCAGGTGGATATGATAGAGGTATATAAAATCATGAGTGGTGTGGAGAAAGTGAATAAGGAAAAGTTATTTACTTGTTCCCATAAGAACTAGGGGCCACCAAATGAAATTAATGGGCAGCGGGTTTAAAACAAATAAAAGGAAGTTCTTCTTCACACAGCGCACAGTCAACCTGTGGAACTCCTTGCCTGAGGAGGTTGTGAAGGCTAGGACTATAACAGGGTTTAAAAGAGAACTAGATAAATTCATGGAGGTTAAGTCCATTTATGGCTATTAGTCAGGATGGGTAAGGAATGATGCCGCTAGCCTCTGTTTGTCAGAGGGTGGAGCTGGATGGTAGGAGAGAGATCACCTAATCTTTACCTGTTAGGTTCACTCCCTCTGGGGCACCTGGCATTGGCCACTGTCAGCAGACAGGATACGTGGCTGGATGGACCTTTGGTCTGACCCAGTATGGCCATTCTTATGTTCTTATGTACTTGATTTCTTTGACACTAAACTGGGAGGAGAGGTAGATACGCTGGAGGGTAGGGATAGGATGCAGAGGGACCTAGACAAATTAGAGGATTGGGCCAAAAGAAATCTGATGAGGTTCAACAAAGACAAGTGCAGAGTCCTGCACTTAGGACAAAAGAATCCCATGCACCGCTACAGACTAGGGACCGAATGGCTCGGCAGCAGTTCTGCAAAAAATGACCTAGGAGTTACAGTGGATGATAAGCTGGATATGAGTCAACAGTGTGCCCTTGTTGCCAAAAAGGCCAATGGCATCTTGGGCTGTATAAGTAGGGACATAGACAGCAGATCAAGTGACATGATCGTTCCCCTCTATTTGACATTGGTGAGGCCTCATCTGGAGTACTGTGTCCAGTTTTGGGCCCCACACTACAAGAAGAATGTGAAAAAATTGGAGAGAGTCCAGCGGAGGGCAACAAAAATGATTAGGGGACTGGAACACATGACTTATAAGGGGAGGCTGAGGGAACGGGGATTGTTTAGTCTGCAGAAGAGACGAATGAGGGGGGATTTGATAGCTGCTTTCAACTACCTGAAAGGGGGTTCCAAAGAGGATGGATCTAGACTGTTCTCAATGGTAGCAGATGACAGAACGAGGAGCAATGGTCTCAAGTTGCAGTGGGGGAGGTTTAGATTGGATATTAGGAAAAACTTTTTCACTAAGAGGGTGGTGAAACACTGGAATGCGTTACCTAGGGAGGTGATGGAATCTCCTTCCCTTGAAGTTTAAGGTCAGGCTTGACAAAGCCCTGTCTGGGATGATTTAGTTGGGATTGGTCCTGCTTTGAGCAGGGGGTTGGACTAGATGACCTCCTGAGGTCCTTTCCAACCCTGATATTCTATGAGGGGATCAACAAGCATGTGGACCAAGGGGATCCAGTGGATGTAGTGTACTTAGATTTTCAGAAAACCTTTGACAAGGTCCCTCACCAAAGGCTCTTATGCAAAGTAAGCTGCCACGGGATAAGAGGGAAGGTGCTCTCATGGATTGGTAACTGGTTAAAAGATAGGAAACAAAGGGTAGGTATAAATAGTCAGTTTTCAGAATGGAGAGAGATAAATAGTGATGTCCCCAGGCTCTGTTCTGGGACCAATCCTATTCAACATATTCATAAATGATCTGGAAAAAGAGGTAAAACAATGAGAAGGCAAAATTTGCAGATGATACAAAATTACTAAAGATAGTTAAGACCCAGGCAGACTGCGAAGAGCTACAAAAGGATCTCTCAAAATTGGGTGACTGGGCAACAAAATGCAGATGCAATTTAATGTTGATAAATGCAAAGTAATGCACATTGGAAGGCATAAGCCCAACTGTACATATAAAATAATGGGGTCTAAATTAGCTGTTACCACTCAAGAAAGAGATCTTGGAGTCATTGTGGATAGTTCTCTGCAAATATCCACTCATTATGCAGCGGCAGTCAAAAAAGTGAACAGAATGCTGGGAATAATTAAGAAAGGGATAGATAATAGGACAGAAAGTATCATGTCGCCTCTATATAAATCCATGGTACACTCTCATCTTGAATACTGTGTGCAGATGTGGTCGCCCCATCTCAAAAAAGATATACTGGAATTGGAAAAGGTTAGAAAAGGGCAACAAAAATGATTAGGGGTATGGAATGGCTTCCGTATGAGGAGAGATTAATAAGACTGGGACTTGTCAGCCTGGAAAAGAGATGGCTAAGGGGAGATATGATTGAGGTCTATAAAATCATGACTGGTGTAGAGAAGATAGATAAGGAAGTGTTGTTTACTACTTCTCGTAACACAAGAACTAGGGATCACCAGATGAAATTAATAGGCAGCAAGTTTAAAACAAATAAAAGGAAGTATTTCTTCACACAACACACAGTCAACATGTGGAACTCCTTGCCAGTGCAAGACGGTATAATTCTGCATTTATACTCCAGTAGGAGTGCAAGGCTGGGGAGCTGGGAAATTGGCTGGTGCTTCCATAGTTGATCCTTAAGTGGCTTAGGTAAAGCACTCAGGTAACTCAATTGGGTGTGTGGCGCCACCCGCTGTCGTGTTGGGTGATAACAGGGCCTGGAAAGGCTGGCTAGTATCAACAGAGCAGCGTGAGAGAGGTCAACCCAACTGAATGGTTTGGGGCACAGCAGTTCCAACAGCTCCCAGACTGCACTCTGGGAATGATAACCTGTCACACCCTCCCTGGGTCGGTTCCTAACACTGCATCCCTCTGCTCCTGGTCCCAGATAAGAAAAAGGAAACCAAGCCATCAGTCCCAACTGTTATGCAGACAAAACTACACAGGATCGTTTCAGGGGACAAGACAAGATGTCACATTTATTATAACACAATTTGATTTATGACCAATAATTAATATTTAATACCCATGTATACACACACAGCAAATGTTCTGCAGCTGCTATATAGTTACCAGTCCTGAATGTAGCTTGAGTTCATGGCTTGGGTTTGTAGCTTGTGGTGGCTAACTGTCCAGGAAAGCCGGGCACAAGGAAGAGCTGGGTCTCTGTTGGGCATGCACCGAGGCCCTTCCATGTTGGCAGCAGAATGTTACCCTCCAAAGTCTTCCATCTCATCCATCCTTTTTGTAGGGTTTAGTTTGAATCCAGAATCTATAGGTCTTGCTGTGTCACGCTGCCTCTGTGGTCGGTGTGATCACCCATCAATTGCAGACGTGACTTTCAGCCTAGGACCTGGCTTTGATGTTTCTTCAATTGTACATTTGTTCTTTTCTTTTTAGGGTGGACTCTTCTTGCTTTGTCAGGGCTGTTGTCTGCATCTTCAGCCGCTGGTGTTTACACTTTATTTCGTCAGGACAGTCTGGGGCTGGAGGTTGATTCCATCATCCACACATCTAAACTACACTAATAAGATTACATCAGGGTTTTGTAAAAATGAAGGTTGCAGCAAGCTTTTACAAAATGGAATGAACATTTTAAAATGGAGTTTGGGACAAGTTAAAATGGAGTTGGAGTTACAATATGGACAAGTGTAAGGAACGACAAACAGTGAGCAGAAGTTACAGTGTTGAAGCCGTGCAAGTTTCAGCGATTTAAGCAGCAATTGGATTTAAAGTGAAACTCAATTAGCCAGTTATTGGGGTAACCGGTTTTATGAATGACTGTTGTTTCATTCATAAAACTTTGCTTATGTAGTTATATTAATAAAGTGAACAATTAAAAACAATTTCATTGATCATTCTACATTGTCCCCCTTTTGAACCTTCAGTCCAGGGGTACTGAATGGGTCACACTACATGTAATTGTTTTAAGGCTATAAATGTGAGCCTGGGAGTTTAGCTTAAAACACGTCAGTTCTATCCAGCAGCACATGCAGAGCATTAGAACCAACATCACCGTCAGGGTTCCTAAGAGAACAACGATGGGATGAAAAATTCTATCTAGAACTGCTGACCAGGTGGGCTGCTCCTACAACACTCTGCCCCTTGATCTATGATCATTGCAGTCGTTGTTGTAGGGCACAAGTGATCTATTACAAACCAACCAAACGATCATAACCAGGTGAATATAACTCAGACCATTATAACTGACTAAACACCAGAAATAACCAACACAAATGCACACAATTATAACTATAATAATTGGGAATACAATAAAACCATCACCATTACAATAATTGAGTACATTGACAAAATGAGGTTCAAGTCTGATGTTGCAATAGCCAGCAAACAATAGAAGTCACTGAGGTCAGGACCTCCTTAAGCACACACAACAAGTAAGATTTTGTAGGAGTACCGCAGTTGTCATGCAAGGTTAAGCTGATTTGGACTTAAACAAACATTCAGTTGCTAAAATGTTGTAGACTCCCCTATTCCTAACAGGAGTTCTCAAGAGGTCTCTGGGGACCTGAAAGATGGGGCCCTACAATCACGGGCCAAGATCTTACAGGTTATGGGGGCCCATGAATTACCCTTCAGGGCTTGGGGAAGTAGAACCAGGGTGCATAGAGGAAAGTGTGGAATTAACAATAAAAGCAAATGTAACTAACAATACAAATGTATCAATAACAAAAAATCGACAACAAAATGATTATTAGAGAACCTAACAAAAAATAAACCTGATGCATTGGGGATCAAAGTCTTTTGGACAGAGGTGGATGTGATTGATAATTTGGTTGGAGATGGGGGAAGTAGAGAGAGGAAAAGGCATTTACCCTTTACCTAGTATAGTATCCCCTCTTTCTCTGGACTCAATGCTAACACAGGACACCCACCAAAGACAGACACAGAACATGGAACACAGAACACTGAACACAGACTTTGTCATGACACTATAACCATGGTATTTTATAACTCTTCAGCTGGTACCAGCTCTCCTGATGTTCTGGTTCAGAGGCTGAAAGATAGAAGCTTAGAAACAAATTAGCACAGTGCTCTCACCATGGCAGACCCTGCTCGGTCTCTGCCACAGTGTGTTTGGTACTTGGGGCTGCACAAATGCTCATTAAGCAGTGCATTTCTTGGGAGTTTAAATCCTCCCTTTCTCGCAGTAAAAGGGCATTAACACTCCATCTAGAAAATTTTTCCTGTTTTAAAATGCCCAGCCACTTTGCCATGGCCTGGAGATCTGAGGCAGAAACAGGCACTGTTGTTACTGTTTCACTTTCACCACCCCCTCTCATGGTTGTGGTGGTTTTCTTCGTTACCGTTGCAATGGAATTTTGGCCCTGGGAGGGGGAATCTACCCAAATATCCCCTTCCCAATCTCCAGAGGGGTCCCAAAAGTCTGCCCCTCTGGGGTCCAAATGTCCCTTCTCCTGAAGTTACTGCTGCAATTTGTCTATTTGCAAATCCCAATTTTTGTTCCAGTTGTTTAATGAGTGATTTACAGCGGGGCTCTCCCCTGTTCTAAAGGTAACTTTTTGGCCATTCCCTGTAATTCCTGATTTTTTTCCCTCCTTTTCTTTTCTATGTTCTGGTAAGATCTGAGAGTGCTGCTTTAACACTCTGAACCCATCCTTCAGGGCATCGAACGGGGTTTGGGTACTAATGGACATACATTTCCATTTCTCTGTTTCTGCAGCAGAGGCTTGTAAATCTTGGTGCAGTTTCTTGTTTCCATTTTTACATTCAGCCCATTGAAGGAATACCTCGTTACAGCCAAAGTGCGGCTGCTTCCTTTTTCATTGGAGTTGAGGGTTTATATATATCAATAAGTATCATAGAATCATAGAATATAAGGGTTGGAAGGGACCCCAGAAGGTCATCTAGTCCAACCCCCTGCTCGAAGCAGGACCAAATCCCAGTTAAATCATCCCAGCCAGGGCTTTGTCAAGCCTGACCTTAAAAACCTCTAAGGAAGGAGATTCTACCACCTCCCTAGGTAACGCATTCCAGTGTTTCACCACCCTCTTAGTGAAAAAGTTTTTCCTAATATCCAATCTAAACCTCCCCCACTGCAACTTGAGACCATTACTCCTCGTTCTGTCATCTGCTACCATTGAGAACAGTCTAGAGCCATCCTCTTTGGAACCCCCTTTCAGGTAGTTGAAAGCAGCTATCAAATCCCCCCTCATTCTTCTCTTCTGCAGGCTAAACAATCCCAGCTCCCTCAGCCTCTCCTCATAACTCATGTGTTCCAGACCCCTAATCATTTTTGTTGCCCTTTGCTGGACTCTCTCCAATTTATCCACATCCTTCTTGAAGTGTGGGGCCCAAAACTGGACACAGTACTCCAGATGAGGCCTCACCAATGTCGAATAGAGGGGAACGATCACGTCCCTCGATCTGCTCGCTATGCCCCTACTTATACATCCCAAAATGCCATTGGCCTTCTTGGCAACAAGGGCACACTGCTGACTCATATCCAGCTTCTCGTCCACTGTCACCCCTAGGTCCTTTTCCGCAGAACTGCTGCCTAGCCATTCGGTCCCTAGTCTGTAGCTGTGCATGGGGTTCTTCCGTCCTAAGTGCAGGACCCTGCACTTATCCTTATTGAACCTCATCAGATTTCTTTTGGCCCAAACCTCCAATTTGTCTAGAGCCCTCTGCATCCTATCCCTACCCTCCAGCATATCTACCTCTCCTCCCAGTTTAGTGTCATCTGCAAACTTGCTGAGAGTGCAATCCACACCATCCTCCAGATCATTTATGAAGATATTGAACAAAACCGGCCCCAGGACCGACCCTTGGGGCACTCCACTTGATACCGGCTGCCAACTAGACATGGAACCATTGATAACTACCCGTTGAGCCCAACAATCTAGCCAGCTTTCTACCCACCTTATAGTGCATTCTTCCAGCCCATACTTCCTTAACTTGCTGACAAGAATACTGTGGGAGACAGTGTCAAAAGCTTTGCTAAAGTCAAGAAACAATACATCCACTGCTTTCCCTTCATCCACAGAACCAGTAATCTCATCATAAAAGGCGATTAGATTAGTCAGGCATGACCTTCCCTTGGTGAATCCATGCTGGCTGTTCCTGATCACTTTCCTCTCATGCAAGTGCTTCAGGATTGATTCTTTGAGGACCTGCTCCATGATTTTTCCAGGGACTGAGGTGAGGCTGACTGGCCTGTAGTTCCCAGGATCCTCCTTCTTCCCTTTTTTAAAGATTAGCACTACATTAGCCTTTTTCCAGTCATCCGGGACTTCCCCCGTTCGCCACGAGTTTTCAAAGATAATGGCCAATGGCTCTGCAATCACAGCCGCCAATTCCTTCAGCACTCTCGGATGCAACTCGTCCGGCCCCATGGACTTGTGCACGTCCAGCTTTTCTAAATAGTCCCTAACCACCTCTATCTCCACAGAGGACTGGCCATCTCTTCCCCATTTTGCGATGCCCAGCGCAGCAGTCTGGGAGCTGACCTTGTTAGTGAAAACAGAGGCAAAAAAAGCATTGAGTACATTAGCTTTTTCCACATCCTCTGTCACTAGGTTGCCTCCCTCATTCAGTAAGGGGCCCACACTTTCCTTGGCTTTCTTCTTGTTGCCAACATACCTGAAGAAACCCTTCTTGTTACTCTTGACATCTCTGGCTAGCTGCAGCTCCAGGTGCGATTTGGCCCTCCTGATATCATTCCTACATGCCCGAGCAATATTTTTATACTCTTCCCTGGTCATATGTCCAATCTTCCACTTCTCCTGTACCTAGCCAATTTGTCTTCTAGGTCTGAAATTGTATGGACATCAGCTAGCGTTTGATCAGACCAAGGGCTGTGTCTGAATTTTTGCAAGATTTGTTCAAAAGGTGTGGGTTTTTGTACAAAAGGCAATGTTCCCCGTTTTTCCTCTAAGAATATCTTTAGATTGTGTTTTCTTAAACATTTCCCCCAACAATTGTGAGTAACAACAAACCACAACGCAAAACCAAATTGATACACTATAACCTCCTCACTCCTGAAAAAGCAACTTACCCCTCTCTGGGCCAGAGGGAGAGACACTAAGCCTCCCTCTGTATCACTCGGTCTGCTACCACTGAGGGTTCATACACTAAATATAAAAATCCTTCCCAGGATCAGAGAGAGAAACACTAAGTTCTCCTCTTAAGCTCAGTCTTGCTACAGCTGCGAGTATGTACCTAGGATTTTTCAGTTTGGAGCAAGGATCTCTAAGTCCTCCTCCTATTGCCCAACCATACTACGACCGGGGATATACCCACCTCCAATTATTTCCCCCCAGAAGTCCGGGATGGAGAGAAGGATGCTAAACCTCTCCCCTTTTTCTCAGCTCTGCTACGACCAAGGGTGTGTATACTTTTTAATCATAACAATTTTCAATGCACAGCAATTTTACTATTCAACTAAGATTCAAACCAAAACTCCTATTTTCTTCAGAGTTTCTGGTTAATTAATTGAAAGTTTCCAATCTTTTCCTTACAGTGCCAGGCTTACTAAAGCTAGCGGGGTGCACACCAGTTTTTATAATAATCGTGGATTCTAAGCTTGCTCCCCCCACTGCATTCTCCACCATTAACGTTATACCAATAAAATAAAAACCAGCAGGATCTGGTATGTCAAGGAGCATGTCGAGCTCCTTTTGGCAGGAGCCTTCAGGGTAAGTCTCTATTCCACCTACACCTCCGAAGTTTGGTTACTCCCTTGTCATCCCTGTCTCCAGTTGGAGCCTGTTCTGCAGGCCTGGTGGGGTCCCCAGGCAGATTATTAGGGTTGGAAGAGACCTCAGGAGGTCGTCTAGTCCAATCCACTGATCAAAGCGGGACCAAT